TCGAGGGCTAAGACGCGGCATGTGTTGGTGGCAATCAGGAGCGTCGACTGTGCTTCGACGCGGAAGTGCTCCATCCACACAGCATACTCGACAGTGCCATCCTTAGCCGGGGGCAATTGATACTCGCGCACGAGCTGAAGTTTCCCGTAGCGCACGTTCCCATTGGCGTTGTGATAGTCAACTTTGACCGCATGGATACTACCATCACTTGCCCCAGTGATGAAAGTGTGGGTGTTTTCCACAAATGCCAATGACTTTACCTTCGCTTCGGTGGAATGCCGGTACGTTTGACGAGAACGAGGGGTGAGGTTCTTCTCAAGGCGGGTCGTGTCCCAGATCTTTGCAGTGCCATCATCAGAGGCCGTGACGAAGAAGGCATGGTCTGGCGCAACCACTACCCGATTGACAGGTCCACTGTGCTCCCCAAATACCGTCACAAGGCCACCAGTGGGTTTCCACACTTTGCTGGGCTCCTGTCCGCTGGCCTTCATCATCGGCTTTTTGGTATCCACTTCCTTGACATAAGGACCGAGGTCGAAGAAGTCCGTGGGGTAGTTTTCCGCGAAAACCGAGTCAAGGAGGCGGAGAACTACCGGGTCGTTACCAGCATAAGAGTGATTTGCATGATACTGCTGTGGGCCACGTTCCAGCGCTGTCCTTGGAGGGAGTATGGGAGAAGCAACTGCTTGTTCATCTTCGCGTTGCGAAGGAGAATCAACCTTGCCAAAGGCATTCGCGGGGCTTGTGCCCGTTTCGGCGTATGCTTTGGCAAAATCCCTACGATTGAGCAAGCTCATGGCGCTCGACTTTCTCTGTACGCCACTGGCCAACCTTCTTATAGTAGGATTCTCCGCATCGGTGGGCGTTGATGAGCTATCTTGTCCCGGGCTCTCGCGACCCCCTGATATTCTTCGTTCAGCGTCCGAACTGGGTGGCGAGGCAGGTCCCGTAGCTCCAGGCGAAGACGCAATTGGCGATGGAACGGGAGAATTCTCAGACCTGATATTGTTCACAGCAATAGGGCGTGGGATCGTCAGATGGTCCGTTAGTTGGCTCCTCGAACGAAGATGTTTCCGGCGGGACTCGGGTCTGTTGTCAATAGACGTTGAGGCATCGAGCAAGGCATCGGTGATTGTATGCGGTCTTCGGTCTTCAGCCTTGGCATTCTCCGTATTCCCGAGGGAGTTTGTGCGAGGCCGGGTATTTTGTGTTTTGTCAAAGAAGACAGTCTGTGGCGTAACTCCATACTGAGTCAAAGTGATAACGCTATTCAAAGGAGAAGTCCCCGCTGCGTTGTCCTTCGACTGGCGGGCGATGACCCTCCAGATGAACTCCTTGAGTGCAAGGAATTTCAGTTCGTCCTCCTGGCCCATTCCAATGTTCCTCAGTCGCGCCAGCCACTGTTCATCCTCTTCATTCCTCGGTTGCGTACTCATCGACAAGCTCGAACTCTTTTGACCCCATCTGGGAATAGTATTTTCTGTTCCGACGAACGCAAAACTCGCTTCACGGGATGTTGCCTTCCAAAAAAGGCCCTTTTCGACATTTGACGCCCAGACGAATGCAAGTTCATACACATTTCTCGAGAGTGGTCGTTTGAGAGCGTCGAGTAGTTCACCCTCAGTGAAATTAATGATCTTGACTTTCAAGAACGGCTGAACAAGCGGGGTCAAAATAGAGTATCTATCTGCCAGCGAAAGAAATTTGGCTGACGCGATGATGAATTGGACAGCCGCCTCACGGATCCAAGCGTTCGGGTGCACCAGGAATCGGACTACAATATTGATCAGCTCCCAAGTCGTCGAACGTTGAAAAAGCCCAAGACCAGCCATTGCTGCCAACGACCTGAGTACCCTTTCGACGACGAACTCCTCCGGATCAGTCATCGACTGTACCATTAGCGGCAAAATGTACTGCTCCAAGCTAGTAGTGCCAACGTAAGCTGCAACCCCAATCACTGCCTCGAAGAAGGCACATTTCAGAATCCAATTCCTATCGTTGAGATAAGTATTTAAATGACTCAGAATCACCTCATTAGTCTTGAGGTTACCGAAGAAAATGCAAAGCTCTGACACGGAACCCAAGAAGGCGCGACGAACTGATGCGTCGCTATCAGTTAACATGGCTTTAGTATGTGCCTCGAAGTATTCGAGGAGATCAACCCTCGCAACATCGTAAAGGTTGTGATATGTCGCATCTTCTGTCCATCTGGGCTCTGATCCAACCGGTATCAAAGCTGGAAGACGTGTATCAGAACGCAGGGCTTGAATCATGTCCAAAAACCTCAAGGATGAGTGGGCAAGCGACGCAATACATGATGCGTATGCCGCTCGGACCAGTCGGCTCGGATTGAAACTGGTACTGGGCACAAACGGTTGCAACCTCGGGAAGATATACTCTGAGAATAAGTAGGCATTGACCGGTGAAACAACCTGAACCATCTCCAGGAGCTGAGCAAGGGCACGGATGGCAGCTACCTTGACTCTATCCGTGCGATCGTTCAGAAGTATCATAATATATGGAAGGATCCTGTCCAATTTGGCCTCATCCGACAATCTCTCGGCAAAGGCAAGCAAAATGTCGCAGGCTTTGATCCTGGCGGATGACTTCGATGTATTACGCAGGTTGGAGACAACGAGGGCCAGGAATATGAGCACTCCGTCATCTCCTTGTGGCTGGGACTTTGTGCCCGTAAGCCCGTAGTGAGGTAGATCTAATTCCACAGGAAATGTATCGCCGGTGAGCTTAGGGCGATTGCGATTTGATCCATTTTTGGTAGTCGCTGGTGAGGCACCAAGGAAGTAGGATATTTTATCGAAGTCAAGGTAGACTCTTTCAATGCGGTCATCGGCCTCTCCTCGAGTGGTAGATCCTGCCTCAACCTGTGCCCTACCCGACGATGGATCCGTCATAAGAGACATGTATTGGTGTAGAAAGCTGTAGAAGTATTCGGGGAACGCCTTGTTCTTCCAGAAATTCAGGTACTCTTCCGCGGAATATCTGGACTCAGGATCGAGCTGTATCATATGGAGGATCAGGGCACGGATCTCCGGGTCCTCAATTTTGATCAACTGGCTATGTTCTGGGCTATATTCACCTTTCCGGTACTTGTAAATCTGACTCAATGTGAAGATAGGAGCCTCTAGAAAAAGTTCGGCGATGACGCAACCAGCACTGAAGATGTCCATAGCCCAGTTGACATGTCGGCTTCCAGGTTCTTCACCGGCTTCGAGAAACCTTTCAGGTGCCAAGTAGCAGGTCCGACGACCGGACGTGTCGAAATAGAATGAGAAATCCGCCGGATTGTCCTCCGGAAGAAACGTGGGTTTGAAGGAGGATGAAAAGTCAGAGAGGTAAAGCCAATTCCAAGACGTGACTAAAACATTCTCGGTTTTGATATCGCCATGGAACACGTCGAGCGAATGACAGTCTCTCAACGCGCATAGGAGTTGAAAGGCAATCCACTTCTTCTCGATCTCCTCGGGAAATGGACGGGTACTGTGCACTGTGGTCAGTTGAGCATACTATCGTGACAAATCTTGAGCAGACATACCTCATCCGGTCATAAAGAGAGCTATGGATGTATTGGCGAACGAGATACCCACCGGTGCTGGTCTCGAGTATCCTCTGATAACTCAAAGCATTGGGTACGTCGGCCAACAGCTTGCGCTCACCTACCGCCGGTGTTAGCACCAGTGCGCATGCGATGCGGCTGATCGTCACTATCGGAACTTACGAAGGATAGCTTTGATATATGGCTCCAGCTTCATGCTGGGATAAGGCTTCATTATAACCTTTACGAAAACGAGGCCATTGTGTTGTCTGGCTCGGATACTTTTCATGAACCTGCCACCACCCATGGACTTCTCATACGCCAGGTCCGATAACTCGGGAACATCGATCCCCGCCGAACCCGCGGACAGGGTGGTGAGTGAATAGCCTTGGCCCATGGTGTTGATGCGCCTTCATCTCCCAGATACGGCAGAGCAAGATTCGACCAGTCACATCAAGATTGTTAGAGGTAATTTCAAAGCAGACTGTGAGACGGTAGAGGAAAAGATGCTTTGGCTGAAAGAGAGAGAGCCAGGCCAGGAAGAAAGGCGGTTGGTTGATTGGGTCTGGGTTCATGAGTGGATAAGTTAATGTGAAGCCGCGCCCGACACGGTTGGAGCTCCCATGTTGGTCACATGATTCAAGGAAAGCGGTGAGGCGGTTTCGCTTCGGCTGTAGTTAATACAGATAGATTATCTAACTACACAGTAACTTACACTGTAGTCTCATCCATCCTACTCAGTAAGTTACTACTACTTATGGTGCTTGCTTGGATGCGGCTCTTTCTTGAAACTATTGTTATCGCCAAGTTTAATTCTTTCCAGAATAGAAGTGGAATGTCTTATTGCTTGAAAGGATTCCCCCTGCCTACCGATGATTCAATCCGTTGATGTGGAGCTGAGATGATCACTCTTGGTCGAGTACTCACCTTTCAGCAAAAGTGAGGCTCGATCAGCTGTACACCTTCTTGTTGTCTCTGACGGACGAACTAAAAGTCACCAACTCAACAATGCTTTCATCATTGGGCGCGGATGGGAGGTGGCTGCAATGGCGTCCCGTAGAGCTTGTTTCGCCGGCGGGTTTATGGCACCAAATGAGCCAATCATGCCGTCGATGCTGAGACTCTCGCCATCCTCCCGGGAACACCTCAGATACTCGGCCACTTATTTAGAACGGTCGCTACACTGCACAGACAAACTCAGTCAACACTATGGACAATAGTCCATCATTCTAAGTGAGCACCTCTTTACATTACCTTCTTCCTCAATAATTCTCTACTTTTCTGGCTGACAAGCACTTATGCTAGAAATAGTACCTCACCAGGTACAGTACTATCGGTGCCATTCAGTACCTGGCTCCCGGTAAGGTTGACATGCATCCCTGAAGAGTTGTTCACCGACAAATCATTCGCGGACCCTTCGAAAAACTAGCACCTGGACAAGAAAAAAAAATTTCCCGAACGGAAAAGAGCACAAGATTGTATTGAATTATTGAATTCACGCTCTGTCCTCGTCTGCTTCTATCCCTTTTCTTCTCGTCACTTTGACGTGTTGGCTTTCTTGTGTTCAAGGTCACTGTTTCCCGCTTCCTATCTACATCAAGGGTCATCACTAATACTAGTCATGGCCAGGTCGTACAGACTTGAGGGCCACGGGCCTACTTTACTCGACTGATGGCTTCTTTCGGGATGGAGTCTTCCATGGCGTCACTTCCGCCCGTCGATCAAGACCACATTGAGGTTCCTATCATTGATGACAATGAGCCCCTCATCGAGGTCGTACGCAAACTTCAAAAGTAAGTTCTTGCCCCGGCATTCCGTTAGTACTAGTCAGGCTGACTCGCTACTGTCACTTAGCTATATGATACAAGCGGTCTCCGAGGTCTCATATTCTTTTGAGGAATTAAGATTCTCACCTTGCGGACAGAAGCTTAGGTTACTGCTGTACTCATTGGCAGAGAACTCGCACAACCCATGTATCATCTCTGCACTGATGTAAGCATCTTCATGCATGTAGCTGCATGGAACCCCGAGCTGACCTGCTGCAGGATCCTGAAGTGGGAGTTCAACAATGCAGCCGAAAATGACTGGGGTCTGAATGAAGGCCGCGGCTATGCATGCGAATACGTAGCATGGCAGTTTCTCTGTCACATCAATCAGCGCGAGACTATCGAGTACTTGCTAGAGGAGCTACCTAGCCCCGTGTATACCTCGATTAGCCTCACCCAAGCAGAAAGAGGCGCATCGGGTTTCGCAGCGGCAGGCGACGAGCAAAGTTTCCAACGGGAAGGAGAACGAACACCCCTCCTTCTGCATTCATCTTCTTCGCTGTACCGATTCTTCGGCGGCAAGAGGCGCGCAGGTAGCACCTCGGATATAGCAAATTCTGGAAGTAACGTTTCCTCTGCGGACGCGTATGAGCTTATGAAGTACTCCATGTTCTTTGGACTGAGCGCCTTGGAAATAGCAGCCATCGCAGAAGCAAAGAAGTTCCTCAGTCAGAAAGTTGTTCAAAAGGTCATTGATAATATCTGGAACGGGGAGATTGTGTTCTGGGACTCGCTCAGTGTTCATTCCACCAAGAAACCTCAGTTCTTCAACAAAAGGTAGGAGTCCCTTACGCCAGGGAGGGGGAGCATTTCGCAGGTTGCTAAGAGACATGCCATATAGGACCGCGGATCCATACTCCCGCTTGAGGGTCCCGGTATACCGCAAAGCCTTTGAGGCTGCATTCTTCGTCTCCTTCCTGTTTCTTTACTATGCTGTCTTGGTGGAGAGAAAGTCCACCGGAATAGGCATCTTCGAAACATTGATGTACATTTGGATTGCTGCTTTTGCCTACGACGAATTCAGCGGCATGACTGATGCGGGGATGGTCTTCTACCAGATGGACTTCTGGAGTGTCTGGAACATAGCCATCATCGGTACCGGTCTTGCCTTCATGATCATAAGTGAGTCATGCTCGGAGATCAGGAATCTGCCTCGTCGCAGTGCCCATCACCCTCAGCTGAGCACAGTCTCTGTGCAACCAGGTTTTTGACAGGGGCATTTGCATATTCTCCATTAACTAACTGAACGGGGAATATCAATAGGGGTTATCGGTCTGGGGAAGAAGAGCGATTACATCACTGACCTCTCTTTCGATATCCTGTCCCTGGAGGCTTTGTTTCTAGTTCCTCGGTGAGTCCGGAGGCCCCCTGTGCCAGCAAGCTGATACGTGTTTCAGCGGACTCTGACACATGGGAGCTGAACAGGATCTGCTCCCTGGTGAGCTTAAATTCCTATTTTGGAAGTCTGGTATGCCATGCCTGCGGATTATGCATGCTTTTGAGGAGACTGGGCTGACTTCCATGCACAGATCCCGGTTCTCAAGGAGATGGTGCAATTACCCGGCTGTCCCGTAGTTGCAGGTGGCGAGGAAGCTAATGGAAGTCATTCTAGACCAAAGCGTTCTTCCGATTTATCCCTGTGATTGTAGTGTTGTACCTAGGTGGGTAACCCCAAATGACGCATTCGAGAAAGCCTGATGCCAATGCGGCCGGGGATGTTCCTGCAGGGTTCTTGACCACGTTTACCATGCTTGCCCGTGACCGCCTCTCTCTCAGGCAAATGTCATGGATTTTGGTGAAGGTGTTCTTTGGGTATGGCGGTGAAATTCCCTGGTTAGCGACGACTCTTCCATGGAGCTAACAGTGCGAGGCAGGTCGAACGTGCTGGGCTTCGTGGGTTGTCCCTTGTCTCTTGGATGCTCGAATTTCTGCAAGACTGACGGTGGCTGAAATGATTGGAAACAGGACATCGCTCACGATGTAAGTCTCATGCACTAGCCGGGCGCCATGCAATCTTGATTGGAAGATGGCAAGGATCGCCGGAATCGATTGGCTCTCAAGTGAAGTTTTACTGATGCGCTAATTCTTAGATTTCCCCGATCTTCGGCTACGGTTTGATGTGTGTTGTTCCCGTTCCCTTTTACTGCTGTTGCTGTACTACACCTACTCCGTACTGCGCCACAGATGCCATGGGACGTGCCGGTCGCATACGCCTGTGATCACGTTTGGCGTTTCCCCTGTCGATTTCCCCTCTCTATCCTTGATCTCAGTGCCAGTTCTGTTCTTGCTCAGGTGCATCTGAAGGTGGCGATGCCAACATCAGACATCATAGGGTCGCGGACCTAATGCTCTGAAGGCCCGTTGGTGAGCGCCGGTGTTGCCGGGTCGCCAATAGAACGCAACTATAGCACGTCAAGCCTCACACCAGCTCGGCATCGATGCGAACGACTACGGACCCCATCACTCCCCAATTATAGCTTGGGGAGAGTGGCTAACGGACATTGGTTTGCAGGTTAATTTTTGTCTCCATGACCAATTTATTGTTGCTCTCGTCGTTGGTCAGCCTTATGAGCATGAGTCTAGAAGGGGTATGTTGATTGCGCACGGTGGCTGATTTGCGCACTTCCTAATCTGTCCACTGCTAATCGGCATTCGCTCCATCTTTCAGGTCATGGCTCATGCGAGAGAAGAGTACCTCTTTCAGTGAGCATTCCATTTGGGCGACATGCAAAAAACGAAAAAGAAAAACAATAACTTACGCTAGTACCAGACTGTCGATCTACGTCTTGGAAAGCAGCAATTCGCGAAGGCTGACCTACTTCATGCCCCCTTTAGTAAGTCCATTGTGATCACTTGAACTTGCACCAGAAAACGAGTCGCTAACAGCAAGACTCGCTACGCTATAGAACCTCATCCCTCTTCTCTGTATCCGGCCCTTGAGGCTCTTCCTGTCTGCAGAGCATATTCGCCGAGTCCGCATCGTGTTGCTCCGAGCAACCCACCTACCGTTTGTTGCACTGATCTGGGCCTATGAATCTAGCCGCCGCTATGTTTCGCGGCGAAATAGTCAGTTTCCACCAACGGCCACGACAGGGAGCAGTCGCCCGACCTCGTCTTTCCAAGCGGGCTTCCCTCCCTCCACGCACCATGCCCCGCTGCAGAGCTCCGCAAGTGAGGGGCAGTTCTCTAGACCTACAAGAATCAAGGAGCGCTCTCACTCGGAGATACGCGGATCATTTGCAGGGCAAGCTGGACCGGTTGACATTCCGGACATGGTCGATGAAATAGAGAGATTGCGAGTTCAAGTGGAACGAGTGGCTACAACCGTGGCCTTTCTCCATCGAGCTCATTAACGAACGCTAAGTTAGCCCTTCCCAGCTGGCGAGGGGCTAGGCTAGAACATGGAGACGGTTGTGCCGTAGGCCTGTTAGGCACACGCACTCGCCGCAGGGCCGGCTTCATAGCCTAAGCTTTAGCGCGAGCACCGGCCAGCGAGACCAACTCAAAAATGGCTTACGTTCTTGAGCTTCGAAGCCTTCACTCGCACGCAAAGATTTGTTGTATTGCCTAGATGGTCCCATTAACAAGATACACTTTCTGAAGATGATTGTACATAGTTGATTAAATTCCTTTTGTTCTTTGCGCGGCTCAGATGTCTTTGTGTGACAACCTCACTCTGGTGCATTCTTGCATTTCCTGTTCCCTTTAGTCTGGCTGTCGATGCTACTTTGGTCCATGTACAGTACAGTAGGTGGTGCTCTTGGGATGATAAGACACATCTAGACCTTCAGATGCCTTCTACTGCTTAGGAGAGTTAGCACTACAGTTAGGTCGTAAACACGGCACTTTTTAGGTAAATGCAGAGATTGTTGTTCTTGTAAGTCTTTGCATTAGTCACAGTGGGCTAGGAATTCGATACAACCTGATACAATTTCGTACAATTTTCTACTCGATTTAGAAATAATCATACTGGGTGATTACAACGACAATAATAATAATGGGACCATGCCATTTTTCCCAGTTCCAAGGTTGGTAGGAGGATGGCCCGGGATTAGGGCCGGGAGCCCCTCATTGCCCTGGTTCAGACACCCCTAAAACTGTACCCGGACCGGGGGGTGGTGGGGGGGGGAGGGGAGAGGGTCACGGGTAACTGAGAACCCCCCCTCCCCTTCTCCCCTTCTAACTACGTATTCTTCCCTCCTCAATCATCTCTCTCCCTCTCTCTCCGCTAAAACTGAACTTCTTCTTCAACGAAGATAAGCCAGCCTTCAACATGAATCTTCATCTACAACTATATCCCCCAACAACACCTGGGCTTCGCTCCTGTCACCAACATTACTACTCTGCTACGTGACTGTGATTCTGGATTTTAATTCCTGTCCTCTCGTTTCCTCAGCCATGGGGGCAGTGTTTGTCAATCATACCTGGCGACACGCACTGTTGCGTTGCCAAGCAAGGTACCAGACTGTCGGGTCCCAGCTATTCCTTTTCCATCCGCAGCAAAAAGACTGAGAATGAATCAGACGAAAGGGAAAAAGAAAAAAAAGAAAAGAAAAGAAAATCGCGCCCGACCAGTCTTGCTATTGGGAAAAGCAGCGGTCCCATTCAATAATTATGATGCAGGCGCTGCTGATGCTCGTCGTTCTCCAGCAGTCCTGGGTGGAACAGGCAATCCAATCTCTTCCCCCCTCTCTCCCTTTCCCCCGTCTATCGACTGGGGTTGATTCCGTTTCCCTCTTTCCCCCCTCCTCTTGTTCAAGCGCCGTCGGCTGCCGTTTGTGCTCCTCTTCCCCTCTATCCGCTGTCAAGTGCGTGTCGGGTCCCCATTACCGTCGATTCCATTCAGACCAACTGCCACACCCTCACGGCGGTGTTATCCGATGTCAATCGAATCATGCATCGCTCTTCCCCACCCACACCTCTTTTTCTTGTTCTTTTTAGCCCAGGGTAAAAAGAGTGACTGGCACCTTGGCCTGATCACATCTTTCCGGCGCTAATTAATTGTGCATAATATCTAATTGTCGCGCCTATATGGATGCTGCAGACCAGAGGCTGCAGTCCACTTGGTTCGGCCCTACCCAGCCAGGCCTTGCACACCCCCTTCGCGTCAAGTCCCTCCTCACCCATGCAAGACTGTCTCCTCAAGTCTGCCTTGCCTGACGAGGCGTCGGTTTTCTTGCTTCTTTCTCACTCTTCTGTGCCTCATGCGGCGGATGCTGTACTCCAATTGTCATATGGCAATCTAGTCGTCATTACTTTCAGCCGCTTTTTGTCGTGCGCCACTATTGCGATCGCACAGCAGCGTTGCTACCGGGTCACTTTGACTCTTTAATTTTTTTTATATAATTCTTCTCACTGTCACAGCTCAGTCACACCTCTCGCATTGTTCAGTCACTTGTTGATCGTCCTTGGCTTTGATCAAGACGCTGTGAAAGATATAATAGCTTCAGCATCCTCCTTCCCACCTTGGTTCAGAATTCTCTTGCCCGTGCCTCCATCATTTCTCGTCACGTTTTTCAAGACCCCGGCTGCTTCTTCAACAACCATGAACTTCACACCTTTTTCATACTCGTCACCTTCGCCCTTTGCTAACTCAGCATCGGATGACCACTCGATCCTAGATGCCACTTCCGCTTATGCGTCCTCTATGTATGCGACTTCCTTCGATATGCAAAACACTCAACAGCTGGCTGGCTTGGGCATATCACACTTCGGCATGGAAAGTACTGCGTCTGAGACCGAACTGTATGCGCATCCAGAACCTCCTACCTTGTCAGCCAACGCTTGGTCGAATACAACATTCAGTTCCGAGAACCTCCTCCAACCCCCTCTAGAATACAGGCTCTACTCTTCAACAACCATCTTTGAACCGCTTAGTGGTGTCATGGAAGCCGCTCCCTCCCCGGCAAGCTTCTATAGCTCACATACCTTAAGTTCGTCGCCGAGTTATGGTTCGAGTACCGAGACCGAGGGCCACCGCGAAGTTGCGCTGGATGACGGGTCATCCGTATGGCCTCGTACGCCGACTTCTGACTGTCCGAATATGCCAGTGGACTATGCCATAAAGGAGGACTCGCATGGATTGCAGGGACCGCCTGTGCACCAAGGTTCAGCTTCCAATGCATCTGCTGCTGCACTTTCCCAGATGCCACCTATGCCTCTTAGCGACACAAGCACCGGGCTACAATGGCCTCCCATCGATAGTCGCAGCAACTCAGCCGGTTTGGTTTCCGACCAAGAAAACGCACTCGGACCAATCCCCTGCGAAGTAATCTCAAGGTGGATCGAGGAGGTGGTCAGAACTCCCGGTGAAGAGTTGAAGATACCACCTGCGAGTGGCCTGAAGTGCAGTGTGTGCGGGTTCCGGTTCACTCGACGCTCGAATTGCCGGGAGCACGAGAAGAGGCATGACCCTAAGCTGAGAAAGTCTTTCCCATGTGATATTTGTGGAAAGACATATGGGCGGAACACTGACCTTCGGAGACATGTGCAGAGCGTAAGTGGCAGATCTTGATCTACAAGGTCCAGTTTCTGACAGTCGTAGGCCCACGTTCAGGAGCGTAAACATTACTGCGACCAGTGCGGGCAGTATTACAGCCGACAGGATACGCTTAATAGGTATGTTGACAACTTTCCGTACCAGTGAGCTCGACATGCTCAAATGCTGACACTGGGATAGACATAAGCTAGACGGATGCCCTCGGAAGATGCGAAAGTGCCACGCTTCGTAGAGGGTTTTAAGATCAGCCTGATACGGCATTCGTGGATTTGTTTTTCACCGGATGATTCATCGCCACGTATGGCCACCAGCATCGGTGGTATTTCTTTGACCAGCAGTGGGAGAAGACCCAACCGCTGCACAAGTTTTGGAACCGGTCAAGCCCTGCGTTGACCGCAAGCATGACGACCACATGTTTTGACACGCCTGTATGATTTCTTGGGAGGTTACCGTCGATACTAGCACATCACATTCTGGGGGGATTTTGTTTATATCTACACGTTTGTTGCAAGGAGGTCATCTGTTTTCATGTCTGTCTATTTACTTTCCATGGCAATTGCTCTTGTTTTGGTTTTGCCGTCTGGAGAGGTTCTTGCGTTGGCATTTGGTCTATCTGGTTTCGAGCTTGAATGTTTCTGCAGCTCGTATAGAGCACATGGGAGGGCTATAGAGCCTCAACGCTCCCGCGTGGCAGGTCCATGCGGAAGCAAGGAGAGCAGATTGTAGGAGATTCGCACAGCACATGCACACATACAATCGATTCATTGTTCCTTTCACTCGAACCAAAGCCCACAGATCGTATCACAGTGCTGGGAATAGATGGCATGGCAAGACAATCGCGCAAATCTAGCTTGACACTAAACAGACGCTAGGCTCGAGTAATATCGGACTCGAACAAAGAAAGACGGAACCAGGCTGCGAAGACACGGGCTGAAAAGAAGTCCTAGAGTGGCCTCCAAGGGTTCTTCATATTGGCCGGTCGGTCAATGCCTTGGGGAGTGGACCACCCACTTCCATCAACAAAAACCTGCCGACAGGCTGACAAACGAATCTCGTCTACATCACTTTTTCTCGGTCTCCGTCCCAAGTGTGTATAAGTGTGAACAAGTGTACGTGCTAGCACTAGCACGTACACCCAAGCCTCTGAAAATTCCGGCTCCGACCGCCGACCGACCAACCACCATGCGAACCATGGCAAGGCGGAAAAAATAGGGCCAGTAGTTCCAGTACAGCCTCCGTAACTTAACTACCTGGCTGGCTATTCCTCATACCTAGTAGATAGGTAGGTACCTCAGCCACCTTGAGTACCTACTAGGTAATTAGTCAACCCGCTTTAGTACCTTACCCGCCCTAACCCCGAACCGTCATCCCCTGAGCAAGCTCCAAGGAGTAGTCCAGGCTTTTCCAGTTTGACCCTCTTTTGCCCGCATCGAGACTAGTTGTGTAGTACCTAGTAACACCGACGCATATACGGTACGTACTCGATTAAAGTCTGCGACCGTACCATGGTTCCAACTCAGGGCTAATTCAACACCGTCGGGGGTCGATTTGTTGTCATCGACTACGGATATTGGTTTCAATTTAGCTCTTGATTCATTTCTCCGTCTAAGTGGGTTCCGTTTTATGAGGTTTGAGATGTGGCCGGACATCATCGGACTTCTTTCTGTCTCTCTTAGAGTCGGGATCGGAGTCGGATCGAGGTGGGGCCCTTCAATTACCAGGTACGTAGGTCAAAAGGCTTCGGGGTATTTTTGTGGGACTTGCTTGCCTGTTTCTGCTTAGGTTCGGGGTGTTTTCGTGGGGGTTTGTTGGGGATGGGATGGGAGGGGCTGGGGTTTTGGGTTTATGTTTTGGGTGGGTTAGAGGTTTTTCTTTTGAGGGAATATTGTATCGAGGGATTAAGGTATAGGTCTATGGGAAGGGTGATTTATAATATTGCGTTTGTAGTGTGGAATGGTGCTGGTGCGGGTGCTGGGGAACAATAACATATAACAAAGTAAGCTCAATCAATACAACAAGAGTATATAGATGGGCTACAGATTATAGTTATGACTAGGATCATAGCTCTGTAAATGCTTGGGTCCTCGTCCGGGGACTCGATGCAAGTGATGCATGCACTGTACCTTGCTTCTATAGATGTTGGGCTTGGAGGGGTGGTTGGAACGGAACATACAAGCATGGCAAGGTCGCTCGGAGTTTAAGGATCCCAACTTCCCCCCACGTCCGCGTGGTCGATTCGGTTTATGGCTGCAGGTACTGTACCTTGCTGCTTTCACGGACACAAACGGGATGGTTGTTTGCTCGGGTGATGGAATGTATGTATACTGAGTATGTGGGTGCTTGTATGGTGCTTGATGCTTTTAAGTGCTTGATGGCTCATCTCATGCTGACATGGTTTGTGCAGATTCTCTTGCACGATCGATGCAAGGGTGCTCGACTGTGACACTCTACGATACTCGGTGACAGAGCAGGCAGCGAGGAATGTATCTGCTTTGGCTTACAGCCAGCCAGCCTTCGAGCAATCGCCCAAGTTACTGCTCGAATCCATATCTCGAGTTATCGGCAAGCTAGGATCACTTCCTCCGATTGTCTCGATAGAGCTGCTTGTGGGACTGAGGACCACTGCTATGCGACCATGAGCTGAGCAGCATGTGCGTCAGAGCCCCTCATTATCAGTGAGCGACACATTCCCGGCTCTGACATGCACTGACTATCTGGTCCAATGGCATCCAGACCCCGTCAGTTCCTCATCTCATCCCTAGAAAGCACAGGCGACGCAGGCAAGTGGTGCAGGCATTCAAATCAGTCTCCCTGCAGATCAGTCGTTGGTCAATCGAGAGCCGAGAACTTTATACTTGGTGCCAACATCCTCAAGCCCAGCGCATGACCTCAATTGTTGCAAGGCCATAGGTCGGATGGGCTGCAAAACACCCCTCTCATGCAGCCAACTCCCGGAACAACGCAACGCAACGCAACGCAGCCATGTTGTACAACATTCCCTCAGTGGTAAAAGAACTCCGCACGAGTTGAGATTCTGCCACCGCCCGGGGCATGGGGGCCGCCCGCCCCCTCTCTCCCATTCCCCCCCGCGGAAAAATGAAGGGTCAATAATAATAAATGACAAACCCGCCGCCCGCCTTTCGCTCCTCCTCCTCCTCCTCCTCCTCCCCCCCTTCTTCCTCCTTCAGCTTTCAACATCTCCCCAGTCTAGTTGGAAACTTCCACAATGAGCACCACGACAACTGTCACCGAGACGCCAAGAATCACAGCGGAGAATGTCGCGACTCTCTTCCCCGAGGTCGACACCTCGCTCGCTCGTGAGGTTCTCCCGACTGCGACAAGTGCTGCCGCCGCCGGGTCCAGCGACGACCTGGCCGGCTACGATGAGGAACAGGTCCGTTTGATGGATGAGGTGTGCATTGTTCTGGATGAGGACGACAAGCCTATCGGTAGTGCCAGCAAGAAGGCCTGTAAGTTTTGCTCCCCAAAGCTTCAGTTTTCAGGGAGAAAACAACAGCGGTGGCGTTGGCCGCTTGTCCCTCCCTTCTCTCTCTCTCTCTTCGAAAGACTTGTGTATGGGCTACATCTCGTTCCGAATCGCTGACACCTTATGTCTGTATGACTAGGCCACCTGATGACGAACATCGACCGCGGCCTCCTGCACCGCGCCTTCTCGGTCTTCCTCTTCGACTCCAACAAGCGCCTGCTCCTGCAACAGCGCGCCACCGAGAAGATCACATTCCCGGACATGTGGACGAACACCTGCTGCTCGCACCCGCTGGGCATCCCCGGCGAGACGGGCTCGGAGCTGGACGCCGCGATCCTCGGGGTCAAGCGCGCGGCGCAGCGCAAGTTGGATCAGGAGCTGGGCATCAAGGCGGAGCAGGTGCCGTTGGACAAGTTCGAGTTCTTCACCCGCATCCACTACAAGGCGCCCAGCGATGGCAAGTGGGGGGAGCATGAGAGTGCGTTACCTTGTTTTTTGCATAGCTGTCAACCCAAATGCTTACAGATTGCCGTCTCCAGTTGACTACATCCTCTTCATCCAAGCCGACGTGGACCTGAACATCAACCCCAACGAGATCCGCGACACCTGCTATGTTTCGGCCGAGGAGCTGAAGCAGATGTTCGAGAAGCCCGGCCTCAAGTTCACGCCCTGGTTCAAGCTCATCTGCAACTCGATGCTGTTCGAGTGGTGGAGCCACCTCGGCTCGCCGTCGTTGGAGGCCTACAAGAATGAGAAGGAGATTCGTCGGATGTAGGGGGTTTCTCCGTTGTCCAGCGTGACGGTCTAGTCTGCATTTCATCCCATACATATCTTAATATCCCTGTTTCGTTGCTGCTGTGCTCATCATGGACGAAACCCTTTGCTTTTTTTGCAGTGTTCCCATTTATTCCCCTTCTTTCACAATCATATGGTTAGCGTTTCGATGCTCGAATTCGATCCTCAAGTTTCAACAAACCACTGCATTCACATTGACCGTGATCTCGATGCTAAAGATAATTGGCGACTCGCTTGTTTCGTACATATCATAAACCGGCCTAGACTTTGCCCTTGCCCTTCACCTTGACCTATACCCTTCCCTCTAGCGCTCACCTGAGATCGTAGTGCATAATCCATCCTCAACCCATGTCCCTTGAAAGTTCAACGGGAAGTCTTCGCATCCGTCGCCAAAAACAGCACACAACACGCCAGAATCACCGTCCCGACCACCGTAAACATGACCTGGGTCTTCCACCCGCTCTGCACCAGCGCCGCCTGCTGGCTGTACTTGCGGACCGTGCGGATATAGTTGGCGAATCCAGTGATCAGGCACGTCAGGCTCAGCAGCCAGAACACGATCCCCAGCGGCAGCGCCATGCGCCGCTCCAAGCCCGTCGGCGGCGTCTGGAAGTGGAACGAGATGATGATCGCGATCGCCACGACGCCCAGGTACATGGCCAGGCGCAGCCACGAGAGGAAGGTGCGCTCGTTGGCGCAGTGGTCGCGCGCGTCCGAGGTGAGGTTGTCGAAGAGGAGGGCGCCGCTGAGGGGGCGGGCGAGGAAGATGTGCGTGGTGGGTTGGGGGGGGCTTTTGGGAGTGGGTTAGTTGGGGTTCGAAGGGGGGTACCCTGGGGATTGGGGGTTGGGGGGGTTGGGGGAAGACTGACTTGTTGGCGGAGATGGGGGTTGCGTTGGCGGGGTTGATTAGGGGGTTGTACGGGGGCTTGGGGGGGTGGTGGGGGGTTGTTGTTGTTGTGGTTGTGGTTGTGGTTGTCATTGTTGCAGTTGTGTGTGTTGGGAGTTGGGGACTTGTTGTGTGGTATAGCAATGTGCTGCTTCACGTCTGGATCGAATAATCACAGCCAGGATATCGAAGCTGTGCAGGCCAACTGCTTGCGACCTTGACTCGCTGCGTCTGGGTGATGCTCATGGCTGGGATTCTGGATTTTCTCTCTTTGAGACTGGTCGTATTCTTGGGTGCTGGGAAAAGGGTCCGGTGACAGCCAAGGTACGGAGTACACTACTAGTGATGGCTAGTGATGCATCCCAGCACGTGATTCCATGCTCGGCGACAACCCTGGGCAGAATGATGTCACGGCCGCGTTGTCTTGCGAACTCGGCGTTGCACAAGGTGTCGGTCGACGTTCTTATTGTTGGGGTTATGGGTTATGGGTTATGGTTATGCTGAAAGGATCCCTCCTCGGGTTTGACACCTGATCGACCCGTTCCTCAGTCTGTCATGTTGAAGCTTCGGTGGATAAGGTCCCTCAATCCAGTATCGCCGATCTCGCCCACCTACTATCTACTTGGTTCCTTCGGCTGGACCATCTTCTTTGGGATTCCGCCCAATTGCATCCAATTGCATGGGCTGATAGCTGGTGCGCACGGGTTAGTCATCCTCCTATCGGTCAATGCGGGGCTAATCAATCCTGACTACTCCATTCCTGGTAATCAGAGGGAGAAAACAGTGACATGAGACTTTCCACGTTGTCTCAACGAATTGCTCAATTTCACCTCTGTCCAGTCATGACAAGACGGGCTAATTGATATCCTCCGAGTGAATGAAGCCACCACAAATCAATCAATGGGAATAGAAAAGACACGAGGTGAGTCACGTCGACGAAGCTGGAGATTCAAAAGATAAGGTAAGGTAAGAGACCCGCAGCCACAATACGGGGCACTTCCAACCAGACTTGCACTTGCAAGCCAATCGCTGACGCCGCAAAATTTGCTGCTCGCTGCTAGACCTTCCGAAATTGTCCAATCGCTAGAGACGATAAAAGCGTCGCCCCCATCCAACTATCCCAGTCGCTCAGTCGCTAAATCGCTCTTGAGTCTTAAACAATTCCCCTCCTTGCTTAATTCCAGTGCTTCATTCACTCCGGAAGTCCTTTGCTGCGGCTTTCGGCAAATCATGCAGCATTGCTCCTTACCTTAGTTTCCATCTATAAACCTCCAATCCTCCCTCCCCTCAGCAGCTCCCGCCGACCTCTTATCCGAGAAATCATGACTCCGCGCGATTCCGATTTTCACTCCCCCAGAATGTCAGACGAGCACCACTACCTGTCTCGTTCGCCGCTCGCGCGGTCCGCCATTGCGCGCGACCTGGAGGACTACGCCGACGACGAAGGCTCCATGCTCACCACCGACGACGACGATGCCTCCGAGACCTCGACCATTCGCGCAATCGGCAGCCAGCCCGGAACCCGCGCCCATTCCCTGGCCGGCTCGTACCAACGGCCCAGCTACTTCACCACCGTCTCGCGCGCCACCGTCGTCCCGTATCGCCCGGAGCAGGAGGGCCTGACCCGGCGCGAACGCGACCAGGCCATCGAGGACGAGCGCAATCTCCTCACGGACAACCATTTCATCGAGCCGTCGCGGAAGAAGACCCGTCGCTCGGCCTCGGAGTCCGCGCCGTCTACAGAGGAGACCGCGCTCCTCGGTGGGGAGGGATCTTCGCGGGCGCCGCAGTACGATTCCGTGGACTCCGAGGAGATCGACCGGAAGTGGGAGGAGGCCGTCACCGCGGGTCTCATCCAGACAACGTGGAAGCGCGAGGCTCAGGTCATCGGCAAGAATGCGGCGCCTTTGGTTTTCACCTTCTTGCTCCAATACTCCCTCACGGTGGCTAGTATCTTCACCCTGGGGCACTTGGGGAAGAAGGAACTGGGCGCGGTCAGTCTGGCGAGCATGAGCGCCAATATCACGGGTTATGCTAGTAAGTCTCGAACTTAGGCTGGTTGCATTCGCTTAACACAGTGCTAATTCTATTTGTCGTGTACAGTCTACCAGGGATTGGCTACCAGTCTCGATACACTTTGCGCTCAAGCTTACGGTTCTGGGAAGAAGAAGCTGGTGGGTCTGCAAATGCAGAAGATGGTCTTCTTCCTGTGGACCATCTCCATTCCTATTGTCATTCTTTGGTTTTTCGCGGACAAGGTTCTGGTCAGGATTGTGCCGGAGAAGGAAGTGGCTGAGCTTGCGGGCTTGTATCTGAAGGTGGTCGCACTGGGTGCGCCGGGATATGCCTGTTTTGAGAGCGGGAAGCGGTTCGTGCAGGCGCAGGGTCTGTTCTCCGCTTCTCTCTACGTCCTCCTGATCTGTGCTCCTCTCAATGCAGTGATGAACTACGTGTTCGTCTGGCAGTTCGGGTGGGGCTTTGTTGGAGCCCCCATCGCCGTGGCCATCACGGACAACCTGATGCCGCTCTTCCTGTTTCTGTACGTGTACTTTGTTGCGGGATCCGAATGCTGGAATGGTGTAACCCGAAGGGCGCTGCGCAACTGGGGTCCCATGATCAAGCTCGCTCTTCCCGGTCTCCTGATGGTCGAGGCTGAGTGTTTGGCATTCGAGGTCCTCACGCTGGCTTCTTCGTATCTCGGAACAACCCCCTTGGCCGCACAGTCCATCCTTTCGACCATCTCTAGCATCACTTTCCAGATCCCCTTCCCTGTCTCCATCTCTGGAAGCACCCGTGTGGCGAACTTGATTGGCGCTACCCTTGTCAACGCCGCCAAAACCTCTGCCAAGGTCACCATGGTCGGTGCCGTGATTGTCGGGCTCCTCAACATGCTCCTCCTCTCCTCGCTGCGCTACTACATCCCTCGCTTGTTCACGTCCGAGGAGGAGGTCATCGAACTGGTTGCCCAAGTGCTGCCTCTCTGCGCGGCGTTTCAACTCTTCGACGCGCTCGCAGCCAACTGCAACGGTATCCTCCGAGGTATCGGGCGGCAGGAGATCGGCGGGTACGTCCAACTCTTCTGCTACTATGCCATCGCCATGCCCATCAGTTTCGGGACCACCTTTGCTCTGGACTGGGGTCTCTTCGGACTCTGGAGTGGCGTGGCCCTTGCCCTGATGCTCGTCTCCATCATTGAGGGATTCTTCCTCACGCAGACCAACTGGAACCGCTCCGTGGAGGATGCCCTGAAGCGGAACTCCATGACTTGAATTTATTGTTACCTGTTACCGACGAATGATGACCACCATGATGTTTTGATGATTTTTTTTCGTTGTGGGTTCACTGCTATTACCTAGCTTCCCCTTTGAACGACGGGTGCGGTATATTAGTACTGTACATATATGGGAGGCGGCATCGTTTATTCAAAAGTTTCGACAACCTCACGACGACCCTCTGCAAGCGGACTGAGATTGCGGTGTGTATATGTTGTATGTGCTAGGTGTGTTAGATTAGTTCTGGTTGTATGTAGGCCCTCAAATCGGCCAATATCGTTATGCACCATGTCCAATCGGGGCAATGTAAATCAACCATCAAAGGAACCCATTTTTGCATACTATTCATCAATAACGCGCAAATCGTACATGCAAACAAGAAACCCCCATCCCAAACAAACCTAGTACTCCAGAATCGCCCAGGTCTGCTCATCCACCGTCGAGAAGATGACCCCAGCCGTCAACAGCTCATCGCCCGCCCTAGCGACATCCGGCATGGGCAGACTCAACTTAGCCGCAATCAACTGCGCATGCAACCCCTCATTACTCTGCGGCTCCGTGCTGAGCAGATTATACACCCGTCTCGCCACAGGACTCATCGCCGGCAACGCCCGCCCACCACCACCAGCACCACCACCATAATCATCCACCCCACCCATCGACGCATCCCCAGCCGCACCACCCGCACCACCCGCACCAGCCCCCTGCCCCTGAGAACCACCCACCGGCCCCTTCGTGAAAAACAGATGCACCGCCGCCGCCTCCAGCAGATGCACATGCACCTCATTGATATCCTTGACGGCGCGCACGCAATGCGCCCCGACGAACCGCTTGTTCCCGAACGACTTGAGCTTCCCGAACACCTTGGCGTAGCCGTCCACCTCGGGCTGGGATCTGGGGCCGGAGGGCTTGTTGGTGGTGGCGGTGTGCTCGTCCGTCTCCATGCTGTCCCCGGCCCCCGACGACGAGTCGATCCACTGCTTCACTTCGATCTCCCCGGTGCCGTCGTCGATCTTGTACGTCACGTTCGTGCTCTGCGAGCTGATGTTCCGCACCTGCCCGATGAAGCACACGCTCGCCGCCTCGGCCGAGTCGATCTGGTAGCCGGCTTCCGGGTACGGTTGGGTCGCGTCCAGCGCTTGTTTGATGGTTATTGGGCGGAGGGTGGCGTTGTTGTAGTCGCTCTATTTGGGGGAGGAGTTAGATGTTGGTTGATTTGGGAAGAGAAGAGGAGGGGCAACTGGGGGGGTGGCTGCCATCAGAAGCAAGAGTGTAATGGTTTAAAAGTGTTAAGGTGTAAGGGTGCAGTGTAGGCTTTACCTTTCCGCCAGAAGGACTGTTGTTCATCTCGCCGGGCATGAAGCCTCCGCCGCCGCCGCCGCCGCCGCCGCTACCTCCGTAGCTGGTGTTGTAATTGTTGTAGCCGCTATCTGAGATTCCGAACGAAAATTGTTAGCTGAGTGCCGCAGCAGCGAAGGAAAGCTGGGAAGTGTGGTAGAGAGGAAAGAGTGGTGGTGCAGAAAGTGCAGAGGTCGTGGGTGTAAGCTTACCCATTATATAGTCTGTTTCTTTGGGGGTATCTTTAAAAATTGCAAGTTGGGATGGACGTTTATTCACTGCACTGAAATGATGGAAGTGTTCATGGCATTTTACCGCTTCGGGACGTGTTCGAGGACGCGTCGCGGCGGGAGTTTGCCGTCTTTGCATTGTTTGGCTGGTTTGTTCCGTGGCTGCTTGATCCCGCCCGCTTCACCGCCTTGGACATTTTCCCCGGTCAGCCAGAAAAAAAAAATATGTTTGATCGAGACACAGCTCAGGCCAAACCGCATACAGGCGCGCGGTGACAAGACAAAAATGGCCCCTCGCGCTGCTTCCCCCGCTCTGTCGGAGAATGAATTCGACATCACTAATGCGCTGTTCCAGCATGATAGCGATTCCGAGATCGAGCAAGTCCCGCACAAGAAGGCCAAGCGCCAACCCCCGAAGGCGGCCGCGCCGCAGCAACTGGATTTCCTAGGCGGCACCCACGACGATGACGACGGCGAAGATGACGAGGCTTTCATCGCGGAGAGACAGGCGTCGGCCAACCGGAAGGGCTCGAACCTCAAGGGCCGCACGGTCAAGAAGGGCGGCGGTTTCCAGGCGATGGGGCTGAATGCGAACCTGCTGAAGGCGATCACCCGGAAAGGGTTCTCGGTGCCGACCCCCATCCAGCGCAAGACGATCCCCGTCATCATGGACGACCAGGACGTGGTGGGCATGGCGCGCACGGGTTCCGGCAAGACGGCTGCCTTCGTGATCCCCATGATCGAGAAGCTCAAGAGCCACAGCACCATGGTCGGCTCCCGCGCGCTGATCATGTCGCCCTCGCGTGAGCTGGCGCTGCAGACCCTGAAGGTTGTCAAGGAGCTCGGCAAGGGCACCGACCTCAAGTCCGTGCTGCTGGTCGGTGGTGACAGCCTCGAGGAGCAGTTCTCCATGATGGCCGGCAACCCGGACATCGTCATCGCCACCCCCGGTCGGTTTCTGCACCTGAAGGTCGAGATGAACCTGGACATGTCGAGTATCCGCTACGTGGTCTTCGACGAGGCCGATCGGCTCTTCGAGATGGGCTTCGCCGCCCAGCTGACCGAGATTCTGCACGGCCTGCCCCAGAACCGCCAGACCCTGCTGTTCTCGGCCACCCTGCCCAAGTCGCTGGTCGAGTTCGCCCGCGCCGGTCTGCAGGACCCGACCCTCATCCGTCTGGACACCGAGAGCAAGATCTCGCCGGATCTGCAGAATGTGTTCTTCTCCGTCAAGTCCGGCGACAAGGAGGGTGCGTTGCTCTACATCCTGCACGAGGTGATCAAGATGCCCACGGGCCCCACCGAGGCGGCCCGGCGCCAGAAGGAGGACGAGAAGAAGCCCTTCAAGGACCGCAAGCGCAAGCGATCGGCGATGGATAAAGCCATCAACACGAGGGAATCCCCCACCAAACACTCGACCATCGTCTTCGCCGCCACCAAACACCACGTCGATTTCCTGTACTCGCTCCTCTGCGAGGCCGGCTTCGCCACCTCCTACGTCTACGGTTCCCTCGACCAGACCGCTCGTAAGATCCAGGTCCAGAACTTCCGGTCGGGCATTTCGAATATCCTCGTCGTCACCGACGTCGCCGCCCGCGGTATCGATATCCCCATCCTCGCCAACGTCATCAACTACGACTTCCCCTCGCAGGCCAAGATCTTCGTCCACCGTGTCGGTCGTACCGCCCGTGCCGGCCGCACGGGTTGGAGTTACAGTCTGGTCCGGGACCAGGACGCCCCCTACCTGTTGGACCTGCAGCTCTTCCTCGGTCGGAGGCTCGTGCTGGGCCGCGAGTTCGGGGACCAGGTCAACTACGCCGAGGACGTGGTCGTCGGCAGCCTGCCCCGGGACGGGCTGTCCCAGAACTGCGAGTGGGCCGCCAAGGTGGTCGAGGACTCAACCGACATCGCCAACCAGCGCGCGGTCGCGGCCAAGGGTGAGAAGCTGTACATGCGCACGCGCAACGCCGCCGCCCTGGAGAGCGCCAAGCGCGCCAAGCAGGTGGTCGCCTCGGACAACTGGGCAGCCACCCACCCGCTTTTCAGCGACGAGACCTCGCAGCTGGAAGCCGAGCGCGAGAAGATGCTGGCCCGCATCGGCGGCTACCGGCCCACGGAGACGATCTTTGAGGTGAACAACCGCCGCAGCGGCAAGCCCGAAAACGAGGAAGCCCTCAGCACCATCCGCCGCGTGCGCACGACGCTCGACTCGAAGAAGAAGCGCCAGGCGCAGGCCGAGGAGCAGTCCGAGTTCGTCGAGGATGCCGTCACCGGCGGCGCTGCAGGTGCGGGCAGCGACAACGACGAGGCCGCCGCCGACGGCGCCTTCGACGACGACGAAGATGAAGCCACCGGCATCCCCGACAACATGTCCATGGCGTCCGAATCCGACCTCGAAGTCACCTTCTCCGCCTACGGCAGCAACAAGGACAGCAAGGACCACAAGGACAAGAATGCAGCCTCCTTCCAGAACCCCGACTACTTCATGTCCTACACCCCCACCAACATCAACCTGGCCGAGGACCGCGCGTACGGGGTGCACTCCGGCACGAACGCCAACTTCGCGCAGGCGTCGCGCGACGCCGCCATGGACCTGCTCGGCGACGAGGGCAGCCGCGGGTTCGGCGAGCCCCGCACCATGATGCGCTGGGACAAGCGGCACAAGAAGTACGTCGCCCGCCAGAACGACGAGGACGGCTCCAAGGGCACCCGCCTCGTGCGCGGCGAGAGCGGCGCCAAGATCGCCGCCTCCTTCCGCAGCGGCCGCTTCGACGCCTGGAAGAAGGGCAAGCGCCTCGGCCGCATGCCCCGCGTCGGTGAGGCCGAGACCCCCGGCATGTCCGCGGATCTGGATGCTGCCGCCCGTCACGGCGGCGGCGGCAAGCGCTTCCGGCATCGGCAGGAGCGTGCGCCCAAGCGCGCCGACCCCTTACGCGGGGATTACGAGAAGATGAAGAAGAAGAACGATGCCGCCAAGGAGCGGCAGTTCAATAAATTCGGCGGTGCTGCCGCGGGCGGCAAGAGTGAGATTCGGGGCACGGATGATATTCGTCTCGCGAGGAAGCTGAAGCAGAAGCGCATGGAGAAGAATGCTAGGCCGTCGCGGAAGAGGTGATGCTTCGCTTAGTTTTTTTCTGGTGGAGATGTGGGGGGTTTGACTTTCTACTTGTATATACCATTTCGTGCGGGACGGTTTACCATAAAATCTGTTTGTTTGTTTGTTCTTGTTGCATGTAGATACCTTACTTCAATGATACGAGTGGGAATGAGATCGTGTTTGCATTATATTATTATGGTCGCGCTGGCTGGAGCAATTTGTTCAGCGCGGATGAGTTAACTGTCTCGCTTTATGGCTGGCTTAGTATACCATCCCCATCAGAGAGCAGGGAGGCATGCCCTCGCGCTCGAAATCATCCTCCTCGGCTGTGCATGTTGCGTGTGGCGTCGGCATCCCGATCCCGGCGCAGGGGAGCATGCCTTCTTTCTCGTCGGCGTCATTGTCATTGTTGATCTCGGCTTCGACGGTGGAGGGTGCATGCTGCGCGTGAGCGCTGAATGCACCGCACGGGAGAATGCCCTCTCTTTCATCGTCATCATCCTCGACCTCGACCTCTGGGGTAGTGGTAGAGGGTGCGTGCTGCGCGTGAGCCCCAAAGGCACCGCACGGGAGAACCCCCTCCTTCTCGTCGTCGCTATCACTCTCGCTTTCGACCACTGTCGTCTTCGGGGGTAGCTGCGCTGAATGGAGTCCGATCAAAGTGCAAGGCAGCATGCCCTCTCTTTCATCGTCGTCGTCATCGGCACCGTCGACCTCTGCGGCAGTGGTAGAGGGTGCATACTGCGCGTGAGCCCCAAAGGCACCGCACGGGAGGAATCCCTCCCTCTCATCGTCATCACTGTCCTCCTCGACGACTGTCGTGACATTCGATGGGTGCTTCGCGTGCGCGACAAAGGCGCCGCACGGGGGGATTCCTTCTCTGTCTTCGTCCTCGCCGCTCCTCGTTTGACTCGGGATTGCGTGAGCATGCGCATGCAACATAAAAGCCGCACACGGGAGAAGGCCCTCCCTCTCATCGTCATCGTCATCGTTGTCATCGTCGCGGTGCTCGTAGCCCAGCACCTGGCGAGCTGTGGATACTCTCTGCAGCGCAAATCCAGCTGCGCATGGCATCATCCCTTCTCTCTCCTCCTCGTCATCATGGACCTGATCCGTCCTCACCACAGCCTCAACAACCACAGGTTGAACACTCAACCCCCCCTCATCCTCCTCGACGCGGTCCACAGCAACAGAACACCCCTCAAGCTCCTCCCACTCACTCTCCCCATCTAACAATCCTTCTTCTTCCGGTCGAACCGCATTGGCAGTCACATCCCGCAACACCTCCTCCCGTGCAGCAAGAACCCTCCCCCACGCCCCCCTCCTCTCCATCCTCCCCACCCACGCCGCGACAAACGGATACGCCCGCATCAGCTCCAATCCCAGGCCATCATCCCCGGAAGAAGAAGCAAGACCGTGGAGACCCGGTAAAAACGCCAAATCGGCGTGGCTGCAGCGCTCGCCCACGAGCCAGGGTTGATTCGTCAGGGCGGTGTTCAGCGTTGCCAGGACGTTGTGGGTTTGGGAGTTGGGGCTGGGGCTGGAGCTCAGCGTCGTCTGGAGATGCAGCCATTGGTTCAGGAGGTGTTTCTCCGTGGTGGTAGCAGTAGTGCTCAGAGTATTTGTGTGCTCGTAGTGGTCGACGAGGTATTGGATGATCGGGTTGGCGTGGAAGAGGGTGGTTCTTGTGTTGGGGTCTGTGAGGGCTATTTTTAATGATGTGTTAGTTGTTGTTATTGGGGGGGGGGGGGGGGG